ATATCCTTGGTGCCTCCCTTTTGTAATCACTTTTGAAATGAAATAGAATTCTCTGAATTTTCTTCAGCCAATTCTACCTCAAGAGTCACCGAAAGCCTTCCATAGAATTAGGGAACCTTACCTCCCTTTCCTCCTAGTGAAGTGAGCTTTCTTTTGTGTCTTAAGCTAGGATGCTTCCATCTCTGGCCTAGGAACCTTGATCTGTTTTCTAACTCTTTCTTAGCCTCATTCAATCGGTCCACATCTTCAAGAAGGTGATCCTATGCGTGGGGAAGGAAAGGAGAAGCAAACCTTCCACTTCTTCAAGCACTCCACCATCATTTTTGGTATCTAGAGCACGGTTTCTTCTTTGAAGATAAGTACACCTTTTTGACCGATTGGTTTTTGTGTTCTTGTGTTCTTGGTGTCACAATTTGAGTTTCTTCTTGGATCTATAATTTTTGAAATCAAATTTTTCCATAGATCCAATTGATTGATTGCACTTTGATTTTCAATCCGCAATCAATGAAACTAGTATTCAACTTGTGCTATTGTTTTGTTTTGATTTGAGTCTCTCATTCTTTTGCTTAAATTGTTTCGGTTATTGGAGTCATATGCATGTGTGGTCTTTGATTTTTGAATCTCAAGTTTTGTCTTGACATGTGCAATTGTTTAAAATGTCTAAATCATTCAAGATGTGCTTATAGTATGTGCTGAAAATTTGAATTCAATTTTTTGAGAGTTTTGGCCGAGACTCATTGTGATCATATGTGTTTTGCTTGTGTGCGTTTTCCTTTACATCTTTGAGTTCATATTCATCATTAGATCATTGATGAATTCTTAGAGTTAGGTTTCTTTTGTGTACTTGAGTTTTCAAATTTTACCTTCCATTTCAAATAGTAAATCAATTCATTCTACTTAGAAATTTTAAGTGATATTTGTGTTTCTAGTGTATCAATTGTATTGGATCCAAATTTGTAAAGATTGATTGCTGGAAAAACAGAGAACTAAAGAGTATATTGAAGAAAAATAGTGTGAAAAAGAAAAGAAAACAAAGATAAAAAAAAAAGGATCCAAAACATTTTCATCTTAAACTACACTAGAAATTGAATTTTCACTTGAAATTGATCATTCTAGTAGTTCGGTTCATGTCTATTTGATTTGTAAAATTTTTTATGTAAAAGGAAACTTATCTTCTCTGGAAAAGCAATTTGAATTCAGCAAAACAAAGAGTTAAAAAGAATATATATATAAAAGAAAAAGACGAGAAGGAAAAATAATTGAAGAAAAAATCAAATTTCATCAAATAATTTGAACTACTAGTTTGATTTTGCTTCTTTGATTACTTCCAAATTTTTTTGGTTTTGTTAATCTACTCTAGTGCCTATCTAGGAGTGTTCCTAATTGAGTGCTAGTTTGTTTTGGAGTCTTAATTTTTGCTTTAATTCTTTGGCTTTCTTTGAGTCTTGTTATAAACACCTATTCCTTCAATTTTTGGTATAAGCTTTCTAAATTGTGCTTTTGTTGCTTGTCTAAGTTTTCTTTCATCCACCTTGTGAGCAGCCTAAAATCATCTATTGTTTGTGTTATTTGTGCAGGTTCAAGGAGCATCAAGGAGCAGGATTAGTGGCGGATTAAAGCACTTAAACATGTGCTGGAAAATCGGACAAACAAATCCGTCACTAAAGTGGACACTAAAGCCGTCACAATTTTGTTTTTAGTATAGTTTAAATTCTTGCAATTTTTCCTTTAAGTTTCAATCAATTTGTAAAGCTTGAATCTAAGACCTTTGAATCAAGGAATTTGTACAAACGGCTGAGCTCACCAAATACCTCATCGACCATTAAAAAACATTGCCATCTTTATAAATAACTGATGCAAGGATTTCCAAGATGGCTAATTTTAGATGAAGTAGTAAAAATAACATACTACTTTAACCCCCATTATTTTCTATGATTAAAATTGATCTTCTTTTAGTAACCAAACATTTTACTTTTGATTCAAATCAAATTTAACCCAACTTACTATGATCCACAATGATTTCGCTGTTAAACCAAACAACACTCATTTAGTGTGTGTTTAGACGTCAATAATGTGTATAACTAAGCCTATTTTGAAAAGTGACACAAAACTACAAGAGATTGCTTCAGGTAGATGTGCGTATAGTTAAAAAAAAAAATGTAGATTCAAACACTTTTTTCACATTTACCATCTAGAACTCACAGTTTATGGTCTCTTGCACTCTTCTCATTCGATCTATTTGTTTTTAAAGAACAATTCCCTTTCCAATAGATATGACAATAAATTCGAACTAATAGTATTCATTCGACCTCAATTTAAAAATGTTCGCAGGGAAAATTTGTTGAGTTTTGACTATAAGCAAGTTTGAATTTTCTTTGACACGTATAAGTAGAGCAAAAGTAGGTATAACAATGGGCTGGTTGAAGACAAGTTTGGCTCTGGTCGACCCCGTTCTTGCAAAAGACGGGATGGTCTAGGGTCAAGTTTATTAAAAGAAAAAATAGAGGTTAAAATTTTAAACTTAAAATCTTGTAATATCCTAAATTTCAGGAACAATATTTTCAATATTATTATTATTCTATGTGTAATTAATTTTTTATATATATATATAATATATAAACACTAGTATTTTAGAATTAGAAAACCAAAAAAAAAAAAAAATATATATATATATATATATATATAAGTTATTTAGTTATGTTATAAATATTTATAATATTAGCTAAGAAGAAGAATTTATTATAAATTTGCAAACAAATAACTTAGAATGGCCTAGTGGCTAGGACATTTGCCTTTCAGTAAGAAGGACCCGAGTTCGAATCCTGTTGGAGTGCATTCAGAATTTTTTTTCCGAAAAAAAAAAAAAAAAAAAAAAAAAACCGGGTAAATGCACGGATAACACTCACGGCTTACAGATCAGATCACCCTTATCTCAAATTAAATGAATTCTATCTGTTGGTAACCGAAACCACAAACCAAATTGTAATTGAACAAAACTTACAATTTGATACCAACCAGGTAATCATTACTTACCATACTATAAATAGGCTTAAGGGGAGGGGGGGGTAAGTTTGAAGGCACAGAAAAAAAAACTGGCAGTATTAGAAACGAAAGAAAGAGCAGCGAGTGAAGAGAAAAGGAAAAAGAAGCGCGCAGTGAAAACAATAGAAACCTACACAACTACAAACCTATATTTTAAGGTAAGAGGAGGAGAACCTTATCTCTTTAAATTTTATATATTTTTATGTTTATTTAATTATGTTATTTTCTTGATCTAGTGAGGTGTCCCTAACCTCATTTATTTGCTTAACCTTTGATTATTTTTGTCTATAATAATTATTAAGGTGTTCATATTTTATATTGTTTCATTATTTTATAATGATGGTCATTTTTATTTATATCATTGGTATTCTTAATATATTCTTTTTACATAGATATATTTATTGTAAATATATTTATAATCAACTATGTTATAGTTGTGATATCTTGGACTCGTTTTGTTGTTATTTCTTCACGTATTTATGAAGATAAATATTGTTCTATGGCCATAGAAGATAAAGTTTGAATTATTTGTAGCTGGAGGTTTGACCTTGGGGATTTAAATGAGTAAGGAATGAAGGTGAAATATCCTATTGTTGGTTAAGGTGAAATATCCTTTTGTTGATTGGTGTTATGATGATGCTCATTTATCCTGACTAGTCACTACAAGTATAATTCAAATTTTATTGTATCATGAAAATCTAATATATGATCTGTATATATATTTATATTTATATATATATGTGTTTAATATTGATTATAAATAATTCTGTATATTCTTTTGAGTTATTATATTTATTGGATATTGTTCTTACTCCTTTCTTTTCTTTGTTTTTATAAATTAAATATATTACAAAATAGATGGATCTACTTTGGATTCCAGATCATTTTGCAGTTGATATAGCTGTGGTATTCCTTGGAAGGAATTGGAATGTGGAGGCTATTTGATGAATCTATTACAATTTTTGTAAATTTATTTTCACTATCAATGTAAATATTGTAATAAAAGTGAAAGAAAAATATATTGTGTAAAATAATACATTATTGTAAATATTTTAGAACGATATATCATGTATTAAATTCACAAAACATGATTGTTCTTTACCTTTATCTTTATTAAAAAAAAAATATATTGTTAACGATATAATTGTGAAAATATTATATAAGAAAATATATAATTATTATTATATAAATTGGGCGTTAGAATCGGGCGTTACAAATCTCGTTCCTGTTGGGGGCATTTTATTTAATCTCCTTCTTGGAAATTTATTGAAATTTAAAAGGGATTGAATTTAACACTCATACAAACACACATTATTTATTGAAAGTTATATGGAGACATTTTAGAATTTTTGGAAATTAATTATTTATTTTAAGATAAAGTAAATTTTTACGGAACTAATTTGGTGGGAAAATCTTTATAAACTAATATGATAATTTAAATATTAAAAAGATTAATTTAATGATTAAATTTCTTAAAAGATATTAATTTTGATATTTATTATATTATATGATTCAAATAACTAATTCATCAAAATTATGTAGAGTTAGTTTTTTTAGTTAAGATCAATAAATATGTCTTAAATGTCTACTTCTTTTTAACACTACTTCTAAATTAATAAGATACTTAATGTATATTTATAAAAAAAAATGCATTCTAAGAAAAAAAAAATGAAACTATTATTATTTTAAAAGATATAAGTTAAATAAATTCTAATTACTTTTTAAGTTCAATAAATAGATTTAATAAGATTTTAAAAAAAAATAATGTTCAAAACATAATAGAATGAATCTTATAATAAATACTAAACTAATTTAAAAATTTGAGTCATGGAACAATGAAGTATGAAACGAAACATATAATTTAAAATAACAATATTGAGGATTTTATCATAAAAATAATGCGAAACTCATCACGTCTTAATACAAGCTGTAGTTAGCTAATATCATTCTTCATTTAATTAACCCAACAATAATATTTTGTATATACAAAAGATAATAATAATACATTAAAAATCACAACGAACATTAGTATATTTTTATAGCTCTCCTTGAACGCCGATCCCTTAGTGCTTGCCCTCGATTCCAAATGGGACTACAAGTTTTGTGGTTGAGCATAACCTCAATTGGAATAACTACCCAACAATTATGGACCTTTAAATCATAGTCACACAATACTCATCATCGGCAGCAAAAGTCAATGCAAAAGTGCTAGAAAATTTATCGCAACCAATTTTAAAGTCAAACCAACTCAATCAATTACATGCACAAAAAAAAAAGTGTAAAAATGAATTGATTTCATGACATTAACAGAGGTGTAGCTAACAAAATTTATAAATGCCTAATCTACACTGTATATTTTGGGAAGAGCTTTTCTTCCCCTTCACAAAAGCATTACTTGTTAAAGGTTCCTCTAAAATGCACGAACGATTTCCTCTCTAACTCAAAAAAAAAAGTTGCTATTCTATGCAATGAAAAGCATGAGTCAGCTACCACCAGCGGCAGTGGCAGCACTATTAGTGGCAGACCCTGTTAGTTCCTCTAACCCTTCAAAGAAATCATCTGTTACCACCGTTTCTGTTAAGCCAAATTCATTTGGTTCCTTGTCATCTTTCATCAGATGTTCCATGTCTTCTTCTGTGCTCTCTGATTTTGCCACCTCTGAGGTGGCTGGAGAAACCGATTTTGTGGCAGTTTCTCCGGTTTGAGGTTTGTGTCGCGTGGAGCCAGCAAGGGAGTTTCTATGAGTGGGGACAGGGTGGTTGTGTTCACCAGTGTATGTCACTATGAACATTGTTGGGTCGGATCTGTTCCTCTCCACTTGTTTCCTAGCTAAGCACCCCTTTGAGCTGCTACATCTGTAATACCCCCTGTGAATCACATAACAAAAATTACAAACCCTTTTTAGCTTCTTAACTTTAGTTTACACCCTTTGAAGAAAAGAGAAAATCTTTAAAGGGAAACCTTGGATATGGTGACCCTTTGATGGGTTTCTGTCCATATTTCCTCCATGCCCATATGTCTGATGAGAGATTCTCAGCCGCCACCTCGCAAACCTTCTTAACCTGATTCTTCCTGTGCTTGACACAACAAAAACATGCATTTCACAAATTCAAATCATGAATCATAGGCATGGAATGGATTTACATGCAATTTTTGAAGAAAAAAAAAACTATTATTAAAATATAGTGACACCACTAGAATTGGTGAAGGAAAAATAATATTTTTATCACTAAATTTAGTTCCTAATTCATTCACCAGTTTATATTCAAGATCCCTTTGGCTTGGGGGTATTAGATTTTTGATTCCTTGCAATTGTGAAATGAGAAATGGAAAAAAATTAAAAGGGTTGATTTACCTTCTTTTGGATCTTGGGGTGGGGGCATGTTGAGAGTGAGTCGGAGGGTGTTTTTGTTCATGTTTTTTGTGAGGTGATTTGGGTGTGGAGGAGGAGTAAGAAAAGGAAGAGAGTGGAGAAGAGGTTTGGAAGGAGTGAGGGTGAGGTTTGAGGAAGAAAGGCTTGCAAAGGTGGTGAAGCTCTTCTATGGAAGTCCTTGCTTCAAAGGGGTTATCTGAAAGGGACAAAAGTTGTTCGGCTGGGAAAGTAGAGAAAGAGGAGGAGGTGGTAGTGGTGGTGGTGGTTGTGGTGGCGGAGGAAGTGGTGGTGCAGCCTCTGACAACGGCGTGGAGATCCCAATCGAGGTCCATGAGGTGTGAAAATGTGTACTGAGAGAGGGAGAGAAGAGGGCGCTGACTTTTGTTTGAAGTGATAAGATGCTATAAGTAGGAAAAGACAGAGGAAGTGGACGTTTCACAAAAGTCTACTCACTCACCAACAAATAAGTGCTTATCTCATCTCAATTTTTAAAACAACAAAAATGTACTTTCTCTATTTTTTTTATATACCACAAGTTCTTCTTTAATAAGAGGAAATCACAAAATCATATTTTCGTTGGGTAAGATTATTATCATAGATAGTTTTTTTTCTTCTGAGAAATTTAATGGAATAATTTAATATTACTAGCTAATTAAGTTGAAATAATTAACTTGTTTTAGTTAATTAATATTGTTGAAATAATTAACTAACTTATGTTAGTTAATCAATGATCATAAGTTAGTTGTTATTATTAGTATCACCACATTCGAGGTACGATTCATTTTAATGCGGTATTGTCCTCTTTGAAGATTGTTAGACCGTTACGATTTTATCCTTAAAAAGGTATTTTGGTGAATTAAAGAGGAGAATATTTATAAACTACCCTTAACATCAATTTTTAAGTGATATAAATTTTTTTAGACATATCAAAATAAGACTTCTAGTCAAGACTAAAGGGCAAAAGTGACTTAAACCCTTCATCTAGCACCAATATTCTAGTCATAAGTCTATTGTCATCATTAGGATAATTGTATATAAAGTATTGTCCACTTTAACGCTCGTTGGACCATCACGGTTTTATCTTTAAAAAGACATTTCAATTGATTAAGGAGACATAATATTTATAAATTATCCTTAATTTCAATTCCTAAGCGAAATAGATTTTTAAAAATATATGATAAATATTAATTAAAAATTAATTGTTTAAAATTTGATATTATACACAAACATATATCACATGTTATATCTAATATGTGATAGAGAATTTAGATAATTATATAATATTTTATTTTAAATATTGTCATCATTGTACAGAAAAAAGTTTAAATTAATAAGTATAAATAAGATTATTTATAAAAAAAAAATTAAAAAATAAACTTCTACATAAACTTAAATTCACTATTCATAATTAAGTTGTAGAATTTATTTTATTTTAACTTTAATGTGTTTTTTGAACTTTTTATATATTTTTTTAATTTATAAAAAAAATATCTTATTTTTATTCTTAAAGTGTTTTTTAAAAAGTTTATCCAAATAAACTTAAAGACTATAATGAAAATAGTTTTCATTTTAAAATTCTAAGAAATATAAATTTGAATAACTCAATTATACATACATTTTCAAAATTAAAAGTTATTTAACAACTGTATAATCTATTATTTGATATAGTTTTATATTTTTATTTTAAATCAGCATCAATAGATACTTCTTCAATTTTTTTAACAAGATTCAATTACTTAATTTATTAGTTTAAAAAGTTATTAAATTAATTGATAGAAACATATTTGTTCTAGAATTTAATATATTTTTAAAATCACCTTTAACATTAATATTATTCTCTACTAATTATTTATTGAATTAAGAACATAAGTTTAATTTTAAGTTTTTTTTGTATAAACAAATATTAATGAAAAAATATTTTGAATTAATTTTATAAAATGATTTATATATTACTTTTAATATGGGTTTAATAAAAAGTAGAATAGTCACATTTTATTTCATCAAGCTGACTTTTTCCATAAAAAGTTCGGTCAAATGAAAATGTGTTTGAAGATGTATTAAAGTTTGTTTAGATATAATTTTTTTTATTAAAAAGTATTTTTATTTTTAATAAAAAAATTCTTTAAGATATTTTTAATTTGTATCTATACATTAATTTTAAAATAATGTAACAAAAGGCCACAACTACTATTATCTATTTATTTTTATGAGGGGATAAGAGATTGAAAATTTGGCATCTCTATGTGTTGTCTATTCTGTTGGCTCTCTGTATCAGATTTGAGCCTTTTCTCTCTCTTGTGTTCTGTTATCCACATGGAGCCAATTTTGGTTTTTTAGGGTTGACATTGTGAAAATGTCAAAGGGTAGTGGCGACACATTTTGACAATGAAACACAACTCCACACGCACCCCTCCTTGGGGCTGTGACGCTCAAATTAATTCATACCGAGAAATAATAATTAAATAATAATGTTGTTGTCAGCACCAGCTACGGATAGACACAAGATAAAATTGTAGTAAGATCTTGACGACACCTTCACCGAATCCATTTATCATTCATGTCATGGCTACATTTATAGTATATATAACCTCTGGATGTTTTTATTATATAGTTTTAAGATTTTTAAAATTAATTCTCCAATGTTATATTAATTTCTGCATCGACAGATTAAAAAAGCATTTATTAAAATTTGATTCGAATTTAACAAACCTCTTTGCTTAGTTAATCATTACGTATAGTTGAACTTAAATCATCAAAGCACTTGTTAAAAAGGGTATGTGATTTTATATACACATAAATATCAAGTTTTGTATATAAATTAAATTAAATCAATAAAATTTAATATATTTATAAAACAAATCGATTATTCTATATGAATAGTATGGACATTTGCATGAAAGCAGTGATGTAAAATCCGGACCGACCCGGCCAGTCGGACCGGTTGGACCGGGAACTGGTGGTCTAACCGATCCGAATCTTAAGTTGGATCAGTTATGTAGTTGACCTATTTTAAACAGGATTGAACCAGTCAATTTTCCGGTTCAACCGGTGAACCGATAGGTCAAATCGGTTCAACCACTTTTTTTTTTTAAAATTTTTTTTTAAGGGACCATAAACCACAAAAATAATAATAATAATTGAATCTCTTAATGGAAAAGTAAGGAGTCTTATTAAATATAACAATGACTACTTGTTTCAATATATTTATTTGCAATATATACAACTTAAATAACTTTTATAGTATATTATTAATTTTAAATTATATATTTAATAATATAATATCTATGTAAATATTACATATATTATTTTGTGATATTAATTGTAAACATATTATATATGTACATATTATTTATATTTTTATTTATATTAATATACCGTTTAACATGTAATTTTTTTATGTATTTTTTACAAAATAAAAATAAAAATTTTAAATAAGATAGAAAAATTGAAATTGAAAATAAGAAATGAATTTATTAAAATTTATAAGTATAAAATATATCTAATATGAATATTTTTTAATAAAAATAAATAAAAATCGAGTCATGCAGTTCAACTAGTGACCCATCGGTTCAACCTTTGACCCACTAACTCAGTATCTTAACCGGTTCGATGACCGGTGCAGTTTTAAAACTATGCATGAAAGAAGTTTTTGAAGTTATGTTTTTTCTCATTCAATTCCCTCAGGGAAATCTTATCCAAATAAAATTTAGTTTATTAATAAGTTATTATTATGAGTGGTATCATATTAAACTTGATTTTTTAAAGTAAGTTCTTGTGACGTAGCAAGTTCAGGCCCAAAAGTTTAATATGGGTGATTCAGTAGTTCAGAATGAGCCATTCCAAGCTATTAAATTAACCTGTAAGTCGTAGTTGAGAACGGGCCGTTCTGGAAGGAGAACGGGTCATTCTGCATGTGATTTTTGCCCATGATGAAGGGGTGCAGAATGGGTCGTTCCGGATTCGGAACAGGCCGTTCTGGCCACTCTTGAATGTCTATAAATAGAGTTGGAGGGTGGAAGAGGAATGAAGGTTTTTAGAGAGAGGTTTTAGAGAGAAGGACTCTGGACAAGGAAGCTTGCTTTGGGTGGATTGAAGTTCCGGGTTGAGCTTCGAAAAAGGGAATTTCGCTTCTTGGCTATTCTGAGCCAATCTTCAGGTAAGGGAATCTAGATGGTAAAGTTGTTGGTTGTATGTGAGTTGGAAACTTATTTGGGTACTTAGGTTGATTAGTATGAGTTGTATTATGTGATGAAAATATTATGTGTTGCTAAGATATGATTAAATATTTATTAATGATGTTGTTGGAGATGCATGTTGTAGTTAAGTTGTGAAGTTGTTTACAAGTTGTGTGTTAATCTATGATATAGTTGAAGTTAGTTGAAATTAAGTTGATAAAGTTGCTATATGTTATGTGTGGAAATGTATATGTTGTGAAGTGCATGATGACAATATTGTTAAGTTGTTAGAGAAGAGTTGTATGTTGCTAAAAAGTATGTTGTGCCATGTGTTGTTTAAAGTTGAAATGAGATGTTGTGTTGTTAAAATGTGTTGTTAAATAACGTTGATGAGTTGTTATGCTGATATACCACGTTGTTTAAGATGTAAGTTGATTAAGCTGTGATAATAAGTTATTGATCACTAGGACTATAGGAGATGTTTTCGAAGTTGCTCATCTCATTGTGCGGACTGAGATAGTTGTGGTGCTCTGAGAGCCCAATTTATTGAAAACCCTCCTTGGGAAGTTGTCCCTTGGAGTGGACATTGTGTTGTTCTCCTCTAGGACTTGGTTAATCCCATGTGTGGGCAAGGTTGAGGCACACATGTATAAAGTGACCACGGTATAGGGGTCAGGCTGAGCTATACCGATTACAAGCGGCCAGATGTTTATTGTTGTAAAGTTGTTATGGTGTCTATTGTTGTAAAGCTAAAAAGTTGGGGACATATGGTGAAGATATATGTCCTATGTCGAGATACATAGTACTAAGGTGATAATTTGAAAGTTGTTTTAAAGTTGAAAGTTATTTTAAAGTTGAATCCCTTAGTACTGTGTGGGCGACATGGAAATAGTTGATCCATGTCATGGTTGAATGACCAATTTGAGTAAGGTATCTAGTTAGAGATGTAGTCTTTGACTAGGTACTGGAGGGTGCGTGGTACTTGAAAGACAGTGGGTGGGCTAACTCCACATGTGGATTGGTGAAGCTAGTCACGGCCATGGTAGGCTCATACCCAAACCCTTCTGTCCTGACAGTAGTACTGGACCTCCGAGTCTAAGTCGCACACCTAAGCAATCAATTATTGTTGTCTATACCTGGTTCTCTTCGGGGTTCCTAACATTGTTCTATACCTGACCTGGTTGAGATAGGTCAAACGATGGATTCGATAGGATTTATGCCACCTAGACTACTCAACTTCAATTA